TTATGATGCAGATTCTGGTGGCTGTGGAAAGTGGGGTTTTTATGCAGATATAAGATCATTGGCATTGCAGCACTCACCCATGAAATAATAACTAGTTTTGAAATGCTTTCTAGTATAAATGCTACTAGGATATCAGATGAAACAATTAATGCAAGGTATAGTTTATTCTTTATAACCCTTAATCTGTGAGCCTACGGGTGTTCTCTCACCTTGCTTTTAACTGCAGGGTGGTTGTATTTTGAATCAGTAAATTAAGAAGTCCCTGAGCAGCTTTGTTGCAAAGCTTGGAATCCAGCATTCATCACTGTGTTCCACTCTTCTGTGTTGGAATGTTAATAGTACTGGAGTTCCATAAATAATATATTTGTTGCTGAATGTTGCTGCCAGTTATGAGTGGCAGTACAGTTTCTTTTGGAGCTTATTTTGGTTTTACAACCAAATCAAGATGTCTTAACAAGTGAAATGTAGTTCAAATTATAGGATTACGAGTCTGTTCAACTAGATAGATTTTCCTTCTTGCATCTGAGTGTCAGAATGGTGGCACTCCAAACTTTAAAATATAGAAAATAACCAGGACAGATAGAAAACATGATTTTTTAAATGACTATGTGCCAAAGATTTTATATTAGTCATTAATTAATACAGGAAATAATAAGATGTTATAACTAGTTCCAAGGAAAATCCAAAGACTAGATAAATGCATAAGCAATGGAAAATGTGGCAATAAATTTGTAAGTAGAGTCACAATTGACTACTGCCCTGGGAGAGTTGGGGCCTGGAGATTAGTTGTATCTTCACTGGACAAGATTCATTTGCAGTAATAGCAGTTTTCTATAAATTACTGAACTATAAAATAGTTCAATTAAATGTGCAGACCCTTTTAAAAGCAGATAACCCATAAGGATGTGCTAGACAACACCTAACATTCCATTGAACAGATATCCAGTAATTTCGTTCTGCCCATTTCAAAGTCATAGTCTACCTGACAGTTTTCCCCCTCCTCCTCTGTAATTATAATCTCAAAGATTATTGTTAATCACAAAAAAGGGCCAGTCTCATAAGATGTGGCCTAATTATTTACATTGGTGAAGTGAGAGTGGTAATTCGCATATTGGCCTTCTTGGTTTGCTTTGCAAATATACAGTCATACAGGATTAAACAACTATTAAGTAGCCTACAAAATTAATTTCTTTCCGGAAGTTTTCATAAGGAATCTTGGATTGGGCTTTTCTACCCCAAGGCTAGGAAATCAAACCAAAGAAACTCTCCACTATATTTCTTTCACTTATAGTAAGCATAAGCTTGGTTGAATTCCTCAAGATTTCCCACATTTGCTAGGTGCTTGCCTTGGTAGCTTTTTTTTACCACATGTAAGGTACTGCAAAACCAGGTACCAGGCCAGTTTCCTGGGAGAACTTTGGAAGCTTGGCTCCATTAGTTCTTAAAGTGGCTAGTCATATCTAATTCAATGAGCATCATTTTCTAATGATATTCTAAGTAAGGGTTTGGTTGCTCAATTACATCCTACAGATAGATTCTAACTGAACCTATGAAATAACTATTATATATTATATATATAACTGAACCTATGAAATAACTATTATATATTATATATATATATATATATAACTATTATATATTATATATATATTATATAACTATCATATTGCCATGGAAATTAAGGACACTCAGTAACAGTTTTTAATTCTGGGAGCTCACTGAGAACTGGATATCATTTTTAAATGTTTTTATTTAGCTTCTAAAAACAGAGTTTAATAAATTGTAGGTTAGAACTAGCATAAAAAGTTTAAAAAAAAAAAAGGCATCCTTACATACTCAGAAAATGGGACATTAAAACATTAACAGTATTCCAGAAAACATAGTAAGATTTCCTACTTTGGTTCATTCAGTCCTTTATAATTAGTTCTTGTTCTGCTAGTTCTTGGTTTAGTAGTCCACACTCATGAAGACATCTGCATGCAGACTTAAAAGAATATGGAAATCCACTTGCACATATTCAAAATTATTCAGTCCACTTGCACATATTAAAAATTATTTCAGCAAAGTATTAAAAAAAATGTCAGCTATTTTAAACTATCAGGTATTATTATATATTTTTTAAATACCTAGTATGTACAGTCCTTTTCCATAGAACTCTGAGGGTCCCCTTTCTGCCCTGTCACTCATAGCAAAGCCTTTAGGCAAGCATCAGACTAATACAGAGTTTATCTATAGGTTATAGAAATGTAATGGTTGGGTTTTTTTGTTTTTTTATTTTTTTACTGTGACAATAACAACTATTAAGTAGCCTACAAAATTAATTTCTCTCTGGAAGTTTTCATAATGGAGAAGAATAAAATTCTTTATTACGATACCTACATAACTATTCCCTGATAGTTTTGGTCAATATTTCCCCTGAAGGTAAAAACATACTATAGGCAGTGAGAGCGTTCATAAATCTCCAGGACCTTCCCATAAAATACACAATTTCAGAATACTTGTGTAGTGTTAATAGCATTTTACCTATATCACCTAACCTAAGGAAGACTGAACATTTCTTCTGATCTGATAACTCTTCCCATTCAACTCTTAAAATAGTAACATTGCAAGCAAATGCAATTATTTATAGCATCTCCCATTTTATAAAGCAAAGGAACAAATCTTTATGATTTTCTAGCTCCTTTCCAGGAAATCTCAAGGTTTTGGGTGTAAAAGTATCATAAAATTTTAAATAAAATGCTTTATTGAGAAGACAAAAACAAAAGAAGTGGTTAATGTAGGAGTGCAAGTGCCTAAAAAACAATACTTGGTTATCTAAATAATTAAAGTAACAACAAAACATTTGTAATGAATAATAACAAAAATTTTAACTCTTTACACAAGTGACGGCCCTTTTTTAAAAAAATAGTCAAGGACTAATCAAGTCATTATAAAGCTCTGAAAATAATTTAGCTGAGACAAAGTATCTACTAGCTAGGCTGATTCCATAAAAGGATAGAGAACACCTTTTTGCATTGTAGTCAAAGGTGTTTATCATTAAACCAAGGAAATAAGCCATCAAAACTATGCCAAAATTATAATGTATTCTATACGCTTTTTTTCAGGCTCACATATTCTAAACCAAAGCAAATAAAATTCACTTTTCAACTTTTATCCTTTTTTTTCTCCCCCCTTCATATTCTGGAACAAATTTGTACTTTAATTTAGAATTGCCTTTTTTCTCCATTCGCTCTCAAAAATATTCACGGTAGTTCTCCAGAGGCTGCATGATGAGGACATCATAACAAATGCAGAACAATGAGCATCCGCTCTCTCCTGTTCAGCCAGACATTACAAAGGATTGTAAAATTGTTAAGCAGTTTTTGTCATCAAAGTATTTTGTTTGGGGAAATACAATTATTTTTCATAAAATATATATGTTATTTATGTTAAAATGAAATTGATTCATCGCTATTTTCTTTTTTTTTTCTTAAATAAATTTTTATTGTTCATATTATTACAAATGTTCCTTCCCCCCCCCTTCCCACCCCATCCTCTGCCCTTTCCCCACCCCCATTGTCCTCATCCATAGGTGCACAGTTTATGTTCAGTCTCTTCCCACACCCCCCTCTCCCCTTTTCCCCAAGAATCATCAGTTCACTCCCCTTCCATACCTCTGGGTTAAATCTGTATCGATAACCTCCAAAACTTTTAGAAATAACCTTTTTTAAACTAAATATTTATTGTTGAAAGTATTACATATGTCTCCTTTACCCCCCATTGGCTCCTTCTAGCCAGCTCCTCTCCCCAGGAGTTCACCACCCTGTTGTGTGTGTCCATGGTTTATGCATATATACATACAGGTTCTTTGGTTGATCACTTCACATCCATCCACCTTCCCCTGCCTTCCCTCTGAGATTCTGCAGTCTGTTCTATGCTTCTATGTCTCTGAATATATTTTGTTCATTAGTTTATTTTGTTCATTAGGTTCCACATATGAGTGAGATCATGTAATACTTGTATTTCCCTGACAGGCTTATTTCACTTAGCATAATATTCTCCAGGTCCCTCCATACTGTCTCAAAGGGTAAGAGATCCTTCTTTTTTACTGCTGCATAGTATTCCCTGTTGCAAATGTACCACAGCTTTTTTATTCACTCATCTATTGATGGGCACTTGGGTTGTTTCTAAATCTTAGCTACTATAAATTGTGCTACTATGAGCATATGGGTGTATATATTCTTTCTGAATTGTCTTTCAAATAATATATTCCTAGAAGTAGGATCACTGGGTCAAATGGCAGTTCCATATTTAATTGTTTGAGGAAATGCCATACTGATTTTCATAATGGCTCATCAGTCTGCATTCCCCCCAGCAGTGTGCTAGGGTTCCCTTTACTCCATAGACTCACCAGCACTTGTTTGTTGTCTTGTTGATAGTAGTCATTCTGACAGGTGTGAGGTGATACCTCATTGTGGTTTTAATTTGCATCTCTCTGATGACCAGTGACTTTCAGCATTTTCCCCTGTGTCTCTTGGCCAGCTGTATGTCCACTTTGGAGAAGTGTCTATTTTGGTCTTTTGCCCATTTTTAATGTATTGTTTGTCTTCTTTTGTTAAGTTGTATGAGTTCCTTATATATTTTGGTTATATAAAATATACCTTTTTAAAAACAAAATCATGACTCTTGAATAAGTATAACATGAACACATGCACATAATTGTTTATATAATCATTTATGGAAAGAACCAGTGATTTGTTACAGCCAATTTAACAATCAATCAGTCTTTCTCCTTAAATGTAACAAAGATTGGCTGGCCTCAGGATCTTAAATAAGCATTTTGACTTTTAAGCCTTGAGTACCCTCCCCACAGTTGGCACATTGACACTTCCAGCCCATTTTTAAGGTCTGCATTTGGGGCTCAGCAGTGAGTGTGCTCATTCCCTGACTACTGAGCTTCCTTCCCTCTGGGCTTTCACTTGCTCTTCTGCATGGAGGCTAACTCCTGTTTTCTTTCACAGTGACAAAATCCAGGCCCTCTCCTATGCACAGCACACACGGCAGCTCATCTCATGTGGCAGTGATGGTGGCATAGTCATCTGGAACATGGATGTGGAAAGGCAGGAGGTAGGTGCACTGGGCTGGGCTCTGCCATCTTGGCTATGCTGAAAAACAGCTCAGCCGCCCTCCTGCTGATTTCTTATTTCTTTTACAATTAAACCTTGAAATAAGACATGATATGTTCAAAGAAAAAAATTTGGGTAGAAAAGGAGTTTCAATTTTTTTGCCTCTCACAAATTGGCATTTAACTTTTAAGTGATGGATATTTCATAAGAATTTAGACTGAGAGTAAGCTGTGTAAACTTTAAATTTGTTGCAACATTCACAACAAAATTTCAGATGAGAAAAAGGGACCTCTATTTTCAGGTGATTAATCCTAGGGTATAAAGTGCGCAATGAAAACAGAAAACTCGTGTATTTTATGTATTGATAGAAACGATCACTTGTGTGGGAGAAATGGTATTTGATGAAGTAAAATTCTTTAGTTATTAATAGAAATATTCAAAATAAATATTTTATGCTTCTTTATGAGTCATCTCCTAGATAGTTCTCCAGATATAAATATACTAGAGGCCCGGTGCAGGAAATTTGTGCACGGGTTGGGAGGGGGGGGAGTGTCCCTCAGCCCAGCCTACACCCTCTCCAATCTGGGACCCCTCGAGGGATGTCCAACTGCCCATTTAGGCCCGATCCCAGTGGGACTGGGCCTAAATGGGCATCAGACATCCCTCTCACAATCTAGGAATGCTGGCTCCCAACTGCTTGCATGCCTGACTTTCTGATTGCCCCTAACAGCTTCTGCCTGTCAGCCTGATCACCCGCTAATCACTCCCCTGTCAGTCTTGATTGATGCCTAACTGCTCCCCAGCCAGCCTGTTTGCCCTTAACTGTCCTCCCCTACAGGCCTTGTCTCCCCCCCCCCCCAATTGCTCTCCCCTGCAGACCTGGGTTCCTCCCAACTGCTCTTCCCTGGTCACCCCCAACTTCCATCCTCTGCTGGCTTGGTCACCCCTAACTGCCCTCCCCTGCAGTCCTGGTCCCTCCCAACTGCCCTTCCCTGCTGGCTGATCACCCACAGCTGCCCTCCCTTATAGGCCTGGTCCCTCCCAACTGTCCTTCCCTACTGGCCATCTTGTGGTGGCCATCTTGTGTCCACATGAGGGCAGGATCTTTGACCACATGGAGCAGCCATCTTGTGTGTTGGAGTGATGGTCAATCTGCATATTACTCTTTTATTAGATAGGATAGAGGCTAGTGCATGAATGGGGGCCAGCTGGTTTTCCCTGAAGGATGTCTTGCATCAGGGTGGCCTGGGCAAGGAGCCTGTGGTGGTTTGCAGGCTGGCCACACCCTCTCGCAACTCAAGTGGAGGCCCTGGTATCTGGGGTTTATCTATCTTCTACAATTGAAACTTTGTAGCCTGAAGCAGAACTGACCCTTCTGCTTGCTCCCATTTTTGTTGGGATTTATGTATCTTCTATCATTGAAACTTTGCAGCTTTAAGTAGAGGCCTAGGCCGGCCAGCGTGTGTGGAAAGCTTGGCTTCCTCCATCGCCCAGGGCAACCTTAGTCTCCTACTCTTTCCAGCTCCGTGGCTGCCACCATTTCTGTTTGGATTTATGTATCTTCTATCATTGAAACTTTGTAGCTTTAAGTGGAGGCCTAGGCCAGCAAGGGCAGGCAGAAAGCTTGGCTTCCTCCATTGCAGGGGAAACCCAAGCCTCCCTCCTGCTCTCTATGGCCGTAGCCATCTTGGTTGGGTTTATTTGCATATTTGCTCCTGATTGGCTTGTGGGTGTGGCTTGTGGGTGTAGCAGAGTGATGGTTAATTTGCATATTGCTCTTTTATTAGATAGGATACTTTGACATTTTAAGCATATATTACTAAGTTTTACTTTCTTTTTTTATCTTTGAGTGTTTTAACAACTGATAAGTTTACTGAATATCCCTTTGACAAGTAGATTGAAGATAACTATATATTCTCATTTCCCTAGAATAATGGTGGCTAAACTTTTCCATTGGTAGTGTATGCTTTTTATATTTCAGTAAAGCAACACTGTAAAAAAAGATGAAAGCAATTTCCCAACTTCTTTCTCTGCCCTCACCCAATCTCATTTCAAGAAAATGTTACCCACAATCTAATGCCTTTCAAATGTCAGTAATTAAATGCTTCAGAAGATTAAAACTTGATTTGCTGAAACCATAAACCCACAGGAGTTCTATTAGTAACTAATTAAAATGATCATTATTATTAGGAAGCAGGGAATTATAGAATACTAGAGGCTCATTGCACAATATTCATGCAAAAATAGGCCCCTCAGCAAGTTCCCGCTCCCAGGCCACCTGGAGCTGGCATGTCTCTCTCTGACTCGAGCACCACTCCAGGAGCTCCCTCCGCCGTCCCCCTTTCCCTCATAGCAGGCTTCACTCCACTCTGCACCTACATATGCAAATTAACCTCCATCTTTGTTGGGTTAATTTGCATGTTCACTCTAATTGGCTGTGGGCATAGCAGAGTGATGGTAAATTTGCATGATTCTCTTTTATTAGGTAAGATTGTTTTTCTAAGTACCCTTTGGCCCAATCAGTATAAAGGCATGGAAATCAATGCATTGTGTGCTAGCCATGCTGGCCAGACTATCCCTTTAAGTGTGGTTCTGCATGGAAGCTGCTGAAGGTGAGGCACAATCACAGCCAGTCTGCCCAGCCTCTTCCCTGGCCTAATTGGCCCAGCCTGGGCAGAAGAGGACCAGCGGGCTCTTTCCCCTCAGTGCACTGTGGGAGGAAGAAGCATTCCTCTACCCCCAGGTCTTTCAGCTGGTCTAAGTTTCAAATAGACGTGGAACAGATTAACAAGATAAAATAACCAAATGTGACACATATGTATGGGAACTCCACATATATGAGAGAGTCAGAGAATTTACATACATGAGAGGTTCAAATACAGAGAGGGAAAATTATGTAATAATGATGTTCTAAGCTAGGAATCACCTTGGGACTTCAGAAAGAAGGAAGGTCATTGTAGGACAGTAAGAAGAGCATGTTCAGTAATTAGAATTTTGCCCTGCCCTAAAGATATTCTTTAAGGGACAGATAAAAGTTTTGTTGGCCTTGCAGGGTCTCAAGTGCCTTTAAGCTCAAAAGAATCCCAATACCATCAAGGCACATCTTGGTGTGAGGGGTGACTCATTCTGAGCAGCAGGCAGGCTTTGCCCAGGATGGACAAAGGCCCAAAGGAAGATAATGAAACCAGGTGGTTGGTGGGCAGTCCTTAGAGCCATCTTGCTTAAAATTATGCCTTTTGACATCCAGATATATGAGCACTCGGTACTTGTTGACTATTTTAAATCTTATTGAGCGATTCAGAACTCTAAATGAGCAGTGGAAATGGTTCCATCCATTTTTTTGCAAGTATCATATAAACAGAAATCCTGCTGGTATGGCAAGTGCTGTGCAGTGCTCACCTAGGGAGGTCTGAGACTGATGAAGCAGTGCCTGCTCTGCAGCGCTGGCAGGCTTTCTAGAAGAAAAGACATGTGAGAGAAAACTTAAGAAAACTATGAAATGGCACAAATGAATTAATTGCAATAGACGTAAGATAGGGCATTAGTCCTGGATATTTAGGAAGGGATGTTATTATTATCATCTGATGTTCCCAGAGAAAGGTGTGTGGAAGGACATAGCTCTTAAAGATTGATGGGATCTGAACATGCTCTGACCAGGAAAAGAAACAGCAAGAATAAAAACCAAATGAACGTGAGAAATTGTGCTTCTGTTTCTTATAAGCATATCCTGATTCTGTTTCATCAGTGTAACTTATATCAAGTAACCTTAGGTTACTGTTTCTCACTGTGACCTGCTGTGTGTTTTATTTGACAAGACCCCTGAATGGTTGGACAGTGACTCCTGCCAAAAGTGTGATCAGCCTTTCTTCTGGAACTTCAAGCAAATGTGGGACAGTAGGAAAATTGGCCTAAGACAGGTGAGTGATATGGCTGCTTCATCAAAATGCAATAGTGTGGAAATAACTTTGTGATCTTAGAAGAAATAAGGGTAAATTATTATCATGGCATCTCTTTGTGAGTGCACATTAATTTGTTCCCTTTATCTGCTATAGCTCATTTCTACTGGGTTCAGTTTTATAGAGATTTGTCCCCAGTAAGTAGTTAAGGGATAGGACTTTAGAATTCTACTGACACTTATTGAAATATACCTTAGAGTTAGCGGGATCATGCTTTAGCTCATATTGGTACCAAACCATGCAATTATAGAAGTGGTATTTATTAATTCTTAATAATTTCGATGGTCCTTTGTCTTAGTTTTTGTTATTTGGATCTACTTATAGTATGACATTTCAGTCTGATCCCATGCTTGGGTTTGGTCATCCTTAAAACACCAAAAGTTGATTTCATTGCTCACCTAGATCAGGTGTGGCTAGAGTACAGACAATGGATTGAAGCAGGGTTCATTCCAATTCTCCTTCGTGAGGCAGCATAATCTCAGGAGATGGCACTTCCTCATTACACTCAGCTGTACCATAATCTGCCTGCTGGGTGTTTCTCTAGAAATCATAATGATGATAACCAGAGGACCTAGAATGGGGTAAGGAGGCAGAGGGGAGGTGGCAGCCAGATGTGTTTCCCAGCAGTCCTCATTCTGAATGAACATGACTGGTGTGTCCCTTTCAGTTTGGGGGCCAGCCTTGTTTAGCATCCTCAGCTAACTGCTGTCATCACCGCTGAGCATACCCTGAGACGCCTGACGAGTCCAGGTTCTCTCTCTGCAGCACCACTGCCGCAAGTGCGGGAAGGCCGTCTGCGGCAAGTGCAGCTCCAAACGCTCCTCCATCCCCCTGATGGGCTTCGAGTTTGAAGTGAGGGTCTGCGACAGCTGCCACGAGGCCATCACGGATGAAGAGTGAGTCCCAGCAGATTGTCAGGGTGAAGGAGAGATGTGAACGGGAGCTGCACCCCGCACCGCGGGCGCGACTGCTGTGCCCTCGCTCCTGTGGGTTAGACTGTGTTCTCTCTGACTTGGGCGGGAAGAGTACACACAGAGAATGCATCCCTGTGCTCTACTCAACACGGGGGTATGTGCATTGCAAATAGGTGTTCTTCAAGCAGAGCCTTCTGGATACTCGTTTTCTTGAGAAGTGCTTAGGAGTTCAGAGACCAGGAGTCACTTTCTAGCCCAAGCTGGTATCTTCCACAGGAGCCAAATCAGCCCTAGGCTCTAGAGCAAGCATGTCAGACTCGCAGCTTATTGGCCGCATGTGGCCCACAATGAATATTTTTGCAGCCCAGCCATTATAATGGTATTTAAGAAACGTTTTAATAAAAATTTTGTAACCTAATTTTTACAATATCCTGTTATACATAATTATTAATAACGATCTACAACGTTTACTAATGACTGATTACTATGATTGCATTGCATTCATTTCCCTTATCCGCCTTACACGCAGGTGCACCATTTCTCTCCACTAATACTAGCAGCGAATATTTTAGCAGCCAATTGCCATGTCATTAGTCTTGTACTGACTTGTCTGGCATGCACAATAGGAAATATTTCATTTTCAGAGAACAAGAAAAATAGGTTTTTTTGTGTTACACTTATTTGTGCAGTTACTCAGTGTCTGGTAAGTTAATGTTCAAGAAAAAATATTATTTTTTATTAAAATGTTCTATTATTTTATGTTAACGTTTACTCATTTATTTCAGCATGTCTCTATCGAAATAAACCTACGTTTCTTTGAAAACTGAAGCTCTTGTTTTTTTGTGGCCCACATAAACTTAAACCTTGTTTATTTGGCCTGTGTTAGCCTTTGAGTTTGACATGCTTGCTCTACAGGTTTCATTTTCTGGGAAGAGCTAAGCTACTTTACCTAAGAAACAAATGCTACCAGTTGCCCAGCTACTAAGTCTGGCTGGTCAGTCTTGCCCAGAAACCTAGGACCTTAGGTTGCTGTGTCTGTGCTTAGTATGTGGGACAAATCTATGCTGTCTCTTTAGTGTTGGCTAATTAAAAGCTGCCCCAAAAAGTGACTTCTGGACTCTGAATTCCTGAGCACTTCTCAAGAAAATGAGTATACAGAATATAAAAACTGCCCCAAATAAACAGAATGCTCTGCAACAAGTTTTCCTCTTAGTGAATTACAGCAGAATTTCATAGGAAAAGGACTGTCTAATGCCCCCTCCCCCACATACTTACAGCGCCTTGTATATAGTAAGACCATGTAAGCACTAGATGGGTGTCTTAAAAGATGCATGTAAATAGAAACATTTCAAATGCACCAGAGTAAATGAGCATTTAAAGGGAATTCATGGCAAATTAATAAAGTATTCTTTTACAAATAACTCTAACTTACGTGCTTTCCATTATTATTTATCTGTATCATATATAAATTAAAATGCCCTTCCAGAAGTATTTCTGTTCACTGATTATTTTCCACTCATCATTCATGATGAAATGAATATTAGTTATCATTAAAGAGCTGCATGTGACCTTAGAGATACTCTAACCTAATTCTTCATTTTACAGATATATAAAGACACAGACCTAGAAGATCTAAGGGTCTGCAAATTAAACCTAAATCCTTAATTCTAAATATTTTAAAGTAACCATTTTTGTTATGCTAAAAATCTGTTAGATTTAGTTATAGATTAAAAGTAGAAAACAAATATCTTCAGAAAGCCCGCTGGAACATTGGAGAAACGCTTTCTCCTTCCATGTCCCTGCTGCCTCTCCCACATCCCTGCTCCGCCTCTTCTCCTGCCTTCAGACGCCTGGGCAGCTGACAGACCTTCTTACTAAAAAATATGCACAGATTAAAAAACTGCAGAACAGAGAGCAGTGTTTGGTAGAGTATTTTACCAGCAAGTCCTGAGATCAGACTTAGCCAAAGCACTGAGGTATTTTGTTTTCTTTTTTAATTTGTCAAAAAACACAGAGATTTTCATAGGCTCTATTAGATCAACAAGTAATCTATAAAGGACTTTTGAAACTCTTTCCCATTTTGGAGAATATCAGAATCCTTTATTTAAGAAAAACTTTTTACCAGGTCACCAGGGAATAAAGGTAGATCTGAGCAACATTCCTAACAGTGAGACTGTTTAGCCATTAGGCTAAAAATTAGAGTTTAATGTCACTCTAGATATCTTTCATTCCCATGTCATGACTTCTCACTCTTGGAAACGTTCTTTGCTTCCTCCAGACGAGCGCCCACAGCCACTTTCCACGACAGTAAACACAACATTGTGCACGTGCATTTCGATGCAACCCGGGGATGGCTGCTGACTTCGGGAACTGACAAGGTTATTAAGGTAGGATGCTCTCTCACGTAGGAGCTCTCCGTGTTTGGCCCTATGTGAATATGCAGGAGCACCGCGGCTATGTGAAACCTGCTCAGAAGGGCTCCCGTGGCAGTGAGCATTTACATACACGGCCCATGCCAGGCACTGGTGTGCACATCAACATAAGACATGCTCTTCCTGCAAGGAGCAGCTAGTCAGTTGGAGACATACTCTTAAAAAGACAGTTAATAATAGGTCACATATGCAGTGGCCAGAAGAGGAATGCAGACAAGAATCGCTTTAAGAGTTCCATAGAGGGAGGCGGTGCTGCTGGAGGTGGCCCTGTGAAGGAGGAGGGGTTTGAGATGAGCGTTGAATAAATGGTAGAAGTTGATGAGCCAACAGTTAATAAACAAGACCTTTTCCCCGTGAGACCAGTTAGTCCCCCAGGATCCCTCTGAGGACCACAGCAGAGGTCCCGGATGGAAGGGGCCGCACCTGCCTCATTTTCTGAGAAACACACAAGCATATAGTACAGGCTTGCACAGCACACTGAGCTCTGCTTCCCAGGCCCATTCTGGCCCATCCTTAGAGGCAGCAGCAGGACACTGGTTTAAATAACCCCTTTTGGAAGTTGCCACGTCTCTGAAACTTTAAGCAAGTTTAAAATAAACTCTGGGGTCTCAGATCCTTTATTTTTTTAAATGGACCCCTTGAATTGTTTGGAAATTTAAAAGTGCTAAGATATTGAAAGGACACGGCAATCTGTGGCACCCTTTGCTGCCTACTATAGTTTAGTTCCCCTTAAGTGGCTCTGATCGCTTTTAGTCTCCAGTAGCCGGGTGAAAATGTCCAGCTGCCATGGTCCTGCTTTTGAGGTTTATATTATACTTTTTGATGGAAAATACTATTTTAAAGATTTCAGAATCGTGTTAGTATAATTAGTTGCTTCTTAAATTTTAAAAAATTTACTGGAATTTAATTATAAGGACTGGTTATCATCAACACAATGTAATTCTAGTGCATTGTATATCTTCTTTTTCTTTTGACAGTTGTGGGATATGACCCCAGTAGTATCTTGATGACACTCCCAGGCATCTGAAAGAGAGTGTTTACTCAAGAAATGATGGTTCTAATCCAAATCGTTACTGGAGCTGTAAAGCAGACGTGTGAGAAGAGAGAAACTAAGGAAACTAGCTGAGTTTGCATATTACCTGCGCACAGTGGTGAGCCGGAGAATGGACACTTGGAGGGGACTCTTTCAACTTGTTCATACAATATAAAAGAAGATATTTTTTTAACAAATGGTTTGTACAATCTGGCTTGCTGCATTGTTTGAGTATACTGTAAACTCTGTGGACTGTTTAATTTTTATATTTTCAATACTTCGTTTTAGTTGTTGCTTTGTGTGTCGGAGAAATGAGGGAAATGTCTGTTCAGGGTATTTTTGGTCAATTTAATGCAGTTTTCATGTTTTCTTCACTTGGGCACAGATCGCCTGGTCAGCATTTTTTCTTCTCTATGTATCTGTTCTCACCTTCATCTGCTTTCACCAGAGTGTATGTATTTACCTCCTTATAAACAGTGTTTCTGCTTTCCCAGAAATCCTCTTCAGGTGAGAGATTCGGAAAACCATTCATGTGGACTTACCAACTGACTTCTTGAATCACCTGAAGAACGATTGTAATGTCTAACTTATTCATGTTCTTATATCGAGTAGAAATGACCTGGTGTTTCTTCCTCCATTTTCTCTGTCTTTCCCATGTTAAAAAATGCCTTGAGAAAGCTGTTCCCAGCCATTGTCAGCATGGGAGTAGATGATTATAACTCAGAGCTTCAAGTATCAGTGCCTGGATCGTTTCTAATTCAATTGGAGCCTTCTGAGCCTTTCATGTTTTAGTTTTATTGACATAGCTCTCCCTTACTTGTATTAAAAACAAACAAAATATTATGTCCTAAAACAAACAAACAAACAAAAAAAAGGCGTTTTAAGCTAGTTTTTGTGTGAGGCATCACTTCTGAACTTGACCGTGTTCGTTCTGTGAGGTTGAATCCTGTTCTCTTCCTCACCGTCTGTATTTTCTCCCCCTTTAAAAACTAGAACACTTACACTAAACTGTGTGGTCTGAGACATAGAAGGTGCTGAATCTTACAGCTCGTCATGTCTTCCTATTGGAAATGTAAAAAGGGGCTTTAGAAAATCAGTCTGAAGAACTCTGATTTTAAGGGAATCTAATCAAATTCGATAAAAGTGAAATATTCTGTGTTTTAGTGATTCAACTCACAATAATGAATTCCTTTAAAAAAAATCTTATTCTCACCTATAAAAGTAGAATTTAAATGAGTGGGCAAGCATGCACTATGTGCCTGCCCCATTCTAAGCTCATTACATGTTATCACCTCATTCAACCCTCACATGTTGGGGGGGTTTTGTGGGAATCGATAACTCTCTTGGGGATTACTATCAGGTTAAATAAAACTTTCAGGTAAACAGCCCAATTACTTGCCCATTCTCTCCAAGTTCTACCTCTACCGTCTCCTGTTCACTTCTGATTTGACCATTTTTTAGTGGTAGTATTTTAAATCCTCCTGGTTTTTTTCTCCTTTACTGGAAAGCAAATTTTTCACTCATGATCATTAATTACGTTTCTTTCTAACCAAAAGAACTACCAACCATACTTTGGTACCACCCCTAACACTGACCTAGCTGCTTCCTGCGGAAGGAGCTTCCCACAGTGACTGCTGCAGCACCGGTTCTCCCCGTCAGCCATGGGACACAACAGTCATCACCCGAGACATCAGGCCAGCCCACTGACCATACCTAAGCTCAGATGCACGCGTGTGTGTGCACAGAAATGATTACCAATTGTCCTTCACTGGCCCCTTCCACATTAACCTTGCTTGCCATCAAGCTGTTAAAGTCAGAGTCCTTACTGCATGATTGCTCTGTGAGAGAGCTTTAAAAAGGGAATTAAATAAAAAAATATCCAGGTGTCTGTTTTGTAATTGATTACTAGAACCTGCAGCCATTGCTAAGTTGTACATAATGGAGAACTATGTTGGAAATGAATAACAGGGATGGACCTCTCTGTTTCCCAGCTTTTGGAACACACAGAGAGGAAGGCACAGTGTTGGAAAGGCATGGACCTGGTCAGGTCTGGATGAACTCACACCCGTTGGGAAGGTGATGTTCCCTGTGAGATCACACGTGTACCTCGTTGGCTCTTTCTGTGACCCTGCACGTCACTGTGGTCATCTCCCTCCCAGCATGGCTGTACCCCAGCCTATAGAGCCACTCGGAGACTGAAACCACTTGACACTTCCTTGGAGAGAGAGCCGCAATCACAAACCACAGCTGTGTCAGCTATCCATTTTCTGCCCTTTTCTTTCTCCTCAAGTAAATGGGTGCTTGAATTGTCTGTTTGTAATACTGTGAATTATGTTGAGTCTCACTGTTTTTGTAACTCGGCGATCTGTGTGCTGGTGTTGGGTGTCTTCCCAGGCATCTTATGGAGATGGAGCTCCATCCCCAAGGGAGGAAGCTGCACCGCACTTGCCTTCCCCCTGTCCAGTGGACTGTCTCGGTTCTTGCTTTGCCCTATTGGGTTTGCACTTTACATGACTTCGTGTTACTGCGACACACAGAGCTCTGGCAGGCGATGCCTAGCATGGCTCTGTTGGGAAAGTGGCAGAACTGCACGTAGTTCTTTCTTTGGTAGGATCAAAGCAATCACGTGCTCTCAGTTCCTCCAAAGAAATGATATTACTGGAACCTTTAACTGCCTGTATGTCTCCACAGTAGCAAAGGTGGTTTTACATTAAGCCCTTGAAGTTGTGTGTTTTTTATATGAGGTTAGTCAACCATGATATATTTGTTTGAATTATTCAAAGAATCATAAAATCATAAAATGAAACTGGAAGGGATCTTCAGAGATCTAGAATGTTCCATGCACAAAGCACTAGTTCTACCAGGCTTTAGACTAGCTGAGGTGTAAATGAGAATCTAAAAGAAGGATTTTCAAGCAAATTGCTTTTGAACATTACCTGGTAATGGCAGATCAAGGGGAGCGACTTCAGTGCCTTGAGACAGGGCTCCTGGGGAACCAGGTTTGTTCCTTATCGAGCAGATTTGACCCTGTGTTTATGGGGGCAGAGGGAGTACCATGCAGTAAGGCAATTATTGCAGGTCTTCGTCAGTATAAACGTCCCTGCACTTTCCTCACAGACCACACAGTGGTAATACTTAAGTGGAAATCCAGGGACGTTGTAAGTACACCTCCAGCCCAGTTGTGTGAAGTCTCATAACAAGTTGGCCTTGAGTGAGTTGCTGGGCCTACAGCATTTGCCCTTCCTATGGAACATTACATGTTTTGAGATTAATTTTTTTTTGCCTTTTCATATAATTTATTGTATAAAGCCCTTGTTCGCTAAAATTTACCTTTTAAAGTGAAAGGAAGCATTTTGCTAAGTTAAATAATGCGAAGTTAAATTTTTCCTGATGTGAAAGCATGGATGCCTAGCAATTTGATTGTAAAACACAGAAATTAAGTTCCTTTTTAATGCTCAGTTATCTGGATAATCCTTGAGATTCCAGTCCATTTCGGCCGGTCATTTGGTAAGGGCTCCCTCTATGCCAGGCTTGGAACTGGGCCTGGGATGACAAGGTCCATTTCCGGACCAGGCGGAGGCCACACAGATGTGGAAATGGGTCATTTCAGTACAGGGTGGGGCCAGAGGGACTTGGCTGAGGAAAGTCTTTGCTGATCTGGGAGCGAGCTGACAAGTGAGTTGAGGAAGGAAATGACTTTCCAGCCTGCAGAAACAAAGGCCCATGATCTGGCATCAGCCTGCTGCATCGGCTACAGGTGGTTTGCAGTTGCCAAAAAATATCAAGTTCTGGGCTGCAGTCCTGGAGCCTGTGCTCTCCTCACTTTGAGATACAAATGCTCCTGACTGCAGAGAGGGAGGCCGCACATATTGGCCTTGAGGCGTGTTGTTTACCTAGGGCCTCAGTTTTAGAGACAAGATTTTAGAGACAAGGTTTTCCTGCCATCCAGGCTAGTATCAGAGTTCCTTCTTTGGAAATGCCTAGGATTGTTTTCTTAAAAAGACCCATGGTAACTAATTTCTGAACTTCCGGGTACAAGGCAGCTCGCTGGAGGCACTGAGGCGGTTAGAGCCGGAGACCATGCATGGACATGGCCCGGAGGGATCTAAAGGCACAATTACATAAGTGGGCTGAGCTAGCTTCTCCCTTTGCAAAGGAATGACCTTGACCTGAGTAGGAGGAGATTGTTCTAGACAGCTGGCACCACACTAACATGCAGAGCCAAGCCTTTGGTACAGAAGCAGCATTGTCTCAGTGCAGCGTGGCCAATGTGATAAATCCTCCTCGCATGGCCCTCTCCAAGCAGAAGGGAACTTTTTCCTCAATTCAGTGACAGTGAAAGGGGCGCTGCCAGGCAGAGGTACCCTCACCTCTCATCGCGGGGCTTGGCACTTTCTAGTTCCTGCTGTTCTTTCCATTTGCCTTTGACCTTCAGTACCCAAGTATCATATGTCCATAATTTAGTTTCAGAACATCCATGTTCGTCTTTCAACTTTAACTTTACAACCATGTATCATATACTACTGATTGAGGGGTTTTAATTTTGTCTTTAAATGTTGTTCTTCCCTCCGAGAAGCATATATAGGCCTAACATACCAAAGAAATATCTAAAAATTAGATCTGTCCAAAATTGGAATGGGATCCCTCCTTTTAGTTTCCCATGCTGGGGAATGGAGACCGTATGGCCCCTTGTCGGTGATGTGGGAAGGAGGCTACGCCCAGAATGAGGGTGGAGTTTGATGATTGTCCTTAGGAACCCTTCCAGGCCCAAGATCCTGTGATTCCATGAATGTCATTATGGAGTCAGTGGCCGAACCTCAGGGCTGACTTAGCTCAGATAAATGGGAGCATATTGCAACATCTTTGTCTTCTGTTCTGCCTTAAAATGTTCATGTTTATGAGTCAAAAGTGTATCTGACTTTCTTTGGAAGAAAGTGTCAGGGACTACAGGTTGGTTTAAAAAAGGTTAAATTT